AAGCACGTTATTTGCTCAGGTCCAGGCTTCAAACAAGACAGTTCCGTGCAGGTATATGATTATCTTTTCTGGCTTTGGTTGTACAGCATTTACTGAGCCTCGAGTGTCCAGCAAGAAATGTGATGTCACTATAAGATCCTGAGGACGGGAAAGTAAACCTGTCAGAAGGAACGACGTTGTGAGGGACACTCTGTCACTGCCATCTGTTTACAGTTCGTCCAACTAACTTTCTTCCTTCTTTCTCACCTCTAATTTGCTATAGGGCACAACAGCAACATGAAGAAGCTCGCGAATTCAGGGGGACTTCCCCACAGTATTTATAACGATTACTAATTCAAAGCCAGAACGCTGCAATTTAGCGGCATAGCGTGGCATTATTCGGGATGCGCTCATTTCGAATCCCGTCCAGGACACTTGTTATTCTGACTGAGACTTCTTAATGTTTTCCTCAACCCCTTCACGGGGAGGCACTATGCTACAAGCAGGAAGGTGGCGGGTTCGATTTCCGATGAGGTCATTCAATTTTTCAAAAGACCTAACACTTCCAACCGCACTATGATCCCGGGGTCGACTCAGTCTCTAACAGAAATGAGTACCAGGAATCTTCCTTGGGGTAAAGGGCGGCCGGCGGGTGGGGTATCGTCGTTTCTAGTAGAGCTTCATGAAATATTTACTCCTGCATATTTCTTCTTTTTTTAGTCTGTAATTTTACTCATTCCCTTTGTGAGACGGATTCTCAAAGCTGACTTCATGTTTTCATTTCTATCTACATATCTACGTACGGCTCAACAATCCTTGTGGACCTTGGCCGCTTTTCAGCTTATTAATCCTACATACAGTTGGTAGGACTCCCTGGACGGAGGATCGGCTGGTCGCAAGGCCGCTACCTACACACAGGACAACATGAACACAGAATAAACGCACATACTAACATCCACACCTTTGAATGGGTTTCGAGAATACGATTGAGCGAGCGAAGACAGTTCATGCCTTAGACCGCGCGGTCACTGTGATCGGCCCTTCTTGTATTTAACACCAAATAATAGACAAGATAACAGAATTTTGTTATTTTTAGCTGTCTTCCACTGGGTAAACATACATCTCGGAGTTCGGAGTGGATATACATGATTCAGCAGAAAATTAAACTGCATTTTGCGAAAAATATTTACCATTTGCTGAAGTACTGTAGTAGCAAGAAGCTTCAGACATTAACATGGAGAAATCAAATTTTCAGCTGTGTCAACCAATATCTCAGCCGGCACAAAGTTTGATACCGGTGTTAATGATTCGCCCTTTCTGCTCTAGAGGAAACCTCTTCGAGTCAGACACCAGCTACACTTTCCCAGTCACAAAAATACACATAATAAACCGCATGCGACAGACGGACAGTACGGCACGGCAAAAGTAAATTTGTCGTGCTTAAGTAATTAGTCACTACGCCATGAAGGTGTATGGGGGAGTGAAGGTATAGAACCATGAATTATTGATCTCGACACTATTTAGAGACGAGTGATCAGCTTCACGCCCCGGCCGCTTTAAAATCGGAGAAAGAGCCCCCAGTACCCATTGCATAGGAGGCTGGGAGGGTCCGAGAACCGGTCTGGACGACGTAAAGTGGAAGAAGTTTTCTCTTCCGGGATTCAAACTGCGACCCCTCGACCGTCAAGGCTTTCCCGGCTACCCAACGGACAGACAGTTTTTCAAATTGGAAGGCGACAGTAACCGGACACCAAAGAACCTCGTCCGCAGAAAAAATACAATTTCAATCCGGGAATTCGCACATCCCCCGGTTATTTTGGGTCTAGGGTGGGACGCCAGCCTGCCACTGTGCTTGCTGTTTATTGCAAGGCAGTAAACATGTGAAGGTGTCCTGCCACTTCAGAAAATGGGAATTGGCGTGTGCGTATTCCCCTGCGTCACGTGGGATCAGATACAAATCCCGGAAATATTGGAGAAGACGCTGTAAACATAAAGGGAACAGAAATTCGTAAGCATTCCTTTACATTTAATGGCAGAAAATTCTGGCATTATCTGTAACTGACGTTTTTAATTTATCTTTCTCTGTTTCCAATTTCTGATACAAGATTTCAGGTTTAAGCCCTTAAGTAATGGAATTAATGCATATTAAAAAGAACTTCGATTTTCAGATATTACGTATGCAACATTAAAATCATTTTTGCAAATAAAAATATATCTTATTAAATCATACGCCTTCGAGCACAAAAATTTCTTTCATGTTTTGTCTTTTTCGCTGCAGGTGAACAGATCTAGGGGAACAAGTCTCTTGTATTGACTTCCCGCTTTACTTCAGTTCCAAATCTGTACGGTATGAAACAATAAGAACTACACGCACACAGCCATGACAAGGACACGGCCTAACCGAGGTACTACCCGACATTTTTCTGGAGAGTCTCAGGAAAACCACGAGAACCCTCAATCAGAATAACAAGTGTCCCAGCCGAGAGACTGAAACCAAGCACATCACGAACACTAGCCTAGAACTTCAGCGCTGTGACAACTCTCTCCGTGTAAAAATGTAAATGTATCCCTGTAACAGGCAGTGAAGGTCCATAGGGTTGTGAGAAGTCGAGGCTCCCACATTATCTAGACAGTCGGCTCACCGATGGCGGTGAGGTTGTCAGCCTTATGCGCCGGCCGCCCTTTATCGCCCAGAACGATTCCTGGTACTCATTTCTGTTAGAGGCTGAGTCGATCCTAGGGCTACAGTGCGGATGGAAGGATTGTATCAACTGAAAAATCCAATGACCTCATCGAGAATCGAACCCATGGCATTCCTGCCTGTAACATAGTGTGTCAACCAAGTGGAAGTTAGTAAACTCCTGGCCGCGCCATAGCTTAAGCGGTTAGTCGCTGGCTTCCCACCGCGGCGGCCCGGGTTCAATCCCGGGTCTGGTCAAGTGGGATTTGTGGTGGACAAAGTGGCGCTGGGGCAGGTTTGCTCGGAGTACTTCGGTTTCCCCTGCCAATCTTCGTTCCACCAATGCCTCCACAATCACCCTCACCTATCATCTGGGGCTGGTACAATAGGCCGGAAGTGGTCGCAATACAAGGGACTTAGTCCCAACCCACTAGCAATAAAAAAATAATAGTAAGCTCGTAAAGAAAACTCCATCTATAATTTACGTCGGCGATTTTCGAATCTGATAGACGAAAAATTATCAAAGAAAGCTTTTGGGGCAGTCGTGAAGCCATGGAACCGTTCCATCATTCGGGTCCGAAACCTGAGCTCAGCAACGACACAATGGGTTAGTGGACTGGCTGTAGAGAGGAATTGTAAGCTGAATAACACAGGCTTCTCGGGAAACTGTGTATTAAAATTCCCGCATTTCTCGTGGAACGCACGCAGTCAGTTCAACTGAAGTAACTAAAGACAGAATGAGGAGGGGTGAAAACGTGTGAACGAGGGAGGAAGGAGGGATTGATTGGATGGATGGCTGAGTGAATTGCAAATGTTTTACGCTTACTAATCAGTGAGGAACGGGGGTGGCGTGAAGGGCGCGCGGGGAATCGAGAAATGTAAACACAGTCTTTGTTGGAAGATTTGAAGCGAAGATATTTGTTTGTGGTTTATTTAAAGAAGTTGCTAGAATCTCATAATATAGGTTATAGCCCCGAATAATAGGATTATTTAGTAAATAATTAATTGGAAAGGATGTAGAAGGCAAAATCCGTGGTCTGATTTCAAATACTACTCCGGAATTTGCCTCAAGGAACTCAGAAAAACTGAGACCATTAGTGTCCCGAAAGAGATCTGACCCTAGAATCTCCCGAATACCAGTCAGGAGGTTAACGCTTGAGGCAGTTTACTCAATTGAGAGGGAACAATTCGACGTAGATGGAAGAAAAATATGACAACTGATATTTATGGTCATGGATTGAATTCATCTGGCTTAGAGTAAAGTCCAACTGCAGATCTTGTGAATGTGGCAATGAAACTTCGAGTTCCATAAAATCTGTTGATCACCTGAGCGGCTGTCTGCTTCTAGATAAGGATTCTTCGTAAGGAATGAGTTCATTTACACAACTGAATGTGTTTCCCTCGCTAACCACAGTTCCATCCATCACCAGCCGCCGAGGTTCGCGAGTGTCCTGAGCAGATAGCACGTCCTCGGCACTTGGCTGTACCAGAATAATGTCTGTCTTTGTGCAATACTATTGTAAAACCCGTTGAAATTCAACGGGAAGGCTCATTATTTGTTACATAAGTTTCCGCACCGCTAACTTTCCCAGCTTTCTCCCGTATTCCTTTCAATGCCTACATCTTAATCCAATGATGCGTTGAGGCAGATGTTTAACCCCATTGTCAACGAATAACACGCATAAATAGTCACTCGTAAACCGTCTCATTTTTACAATATACTACACTTCACACAATCATATCAAAATATTATCAACACACAGAGACTATACGGGGGCACGCGGTAGCGTATTTGGTTGAGGCACTATGCTACAGACCGGAAGATAGCGGGCTCGAGCCCCGATGAGGTCACTGGATTTTTCAATTGACCAAATCCTTCCAGCCGCAATAAGGTCCTGGGGTCGACTCAGCCTCTAACAGAAATGAGTACCAGGAATCTTCCTGGGGGGGAAAGAGCTGCCGGCGCATAAGGCTGACAACCACCCCGCCATCTGTGAGCCCTCTGTCAAGAAAATGTGGGAGCCTCGACGTCCCACAACCCTATGGACTTCCACGGCCTGTTACAGGAATAGCTTTACCTTTTCTTTTTACCTTACCACAGAATATACACGATATGCTGGAACAAAAGACAACTCGCTCTTTCGTGAAACAGGACTACTTAATGACTTACATTCATGGAATCAGTTAACGCTCTGAAATTCGTTGCTATGGTGACACGCACAATAATGAATCTCACGCTAAAAACAATTTTTATGTATGTGGAAAGAATTACGACAACCGTGTACGAACCTTCATGCGTGATTATAGTTCTTATCGCTTACTGCACCTTTTTCTGTTTCAGATCAATTCAGTTCCAAACTCAGGGACAAGAGGCAGTATGAAGGTGTATCACGTGATCATAGCTTGTTCTGTCACTGTACTGCTCGTGGTCCTGGAACTCCCCCTTGTTTCGTGTGATTCTGTAATCGTCCAAAGGCCGGTAAGTAAACACAAACTTGGGTCCAGCACAGGCAATTACAATTAAACATTAAGAATATCGAAGGGGCTCTGTGAGGAATTAGGCGTCTCAGCAATACACAAGCGCTCGCCCGTATGCGCGCATTCACACAGACAGACGCACGAACTAACGTTAATTTGTTTTCATAATCCTTCTAATATCTTTCTGTACATATTTTGCTGTAATTTTGACCTTTTACCTTTTTTATGCTGTAACGGATTTGATCAACGCGTTGCCAGGCAATAGCTTCGTAAAAACGGTCCAACATGCAACCATAGAGGAAGCTGTGTTTTCTGTAGATCCGACCGACGAGCCAATAGACTGGCTGGATAGCGATCACGTGATATATGTTTACTGTAGGTCCGTGTAAGTATCCAATAAATCCAATTACCAATTCGAACCCCGTCTTTAGTCACCGATACACGTGGCAATACATTCGTACCACAAAGAGCATAAAATGAAGAAATAATTATTCGTCGAATTTCAATTAACCTTCTGTTCTATAGGAACCGCTCTAAAGATATCGAGTGAAATTAATTTTGCTTCGTATTTATCAAATATATGGTGAAAAAAGACAAAAGGAAAGAGACCACTAGGAAGACCTAGACGTAGGCGGGAGGATGACATTAAAATTAATCTTAGAGAGATAGGATGGGGTGGTGTGGACTGGATTGATCTTGCTCGGGATATGGACCAGTGGAGGACTCTTGTGAGCATGATAATGAACCTTAGGGTTCCATAAAATATTTGGAAATTCTTGAGTAATGGAGCGATTGGCGACTTCTCAAGGAGGACTCGGTTCCATGGAGTTATTTATTTAGTTAGTTATCAAATATCTGCATCAATTTCCTCAAAAACGGCAAGAGCCTTGACCGGATTCCAACACAGAACAATCCAGAATAGTGCTATGTGTCAATATACGAAAGAAGAACAACGATTCACGTGATCTATCAACACTTAAATGTGTTCCTATTTCAAGAAATTGAGTGAGTCTTGAGTTACTGTAGTGTTCAATCTGGTTCTGTGGTCTCATATTATCACATTCATATAATTTCTCGTGTTCCACTCAGTACACAGGCTGATTCGCTTTCCGGAACCCTACGGCTATATTCCTTTGATACTTCCATCTATATGTGAAGACCAGAGATGCTGATCAGAAATTATGAGAATATCATGGAGAGCTGAGGGTCATGGGTCATTTGGTGGCGCTGGAAAAATCAAGTCGTTGTTTATGAATGCACATCGGTAGATGGTGAAATAAAAAATAAGTTCCGGGAATAATCACACACATACTTTCCTTGATACGACACGGACCTCACAGAAAACTACAGATCCAACAATTATTCGATTGTTACATGTGTATTCATTGCAATGATGACGTTCTTATCGAACTTTGCCTAGCAAAAATAGGTGGATTTTTACTTAGGCGTTGTCTAGCAACAGTAGGGGATACACATATAGACACACAGACTGAAAAAAGGGTTTTATAAGTAAGCTTTTGAGATGAGCTCAGGTGTTATGATATACATACCAAGTTTCATAAACATTGGTTCAGAAATTAAAACAGAATTATGGAGAGGAATACACAGACATGATGGTAATCGCATAAGCCTACTTTCAGTTTTTTTAAATAAGAAAAGTTGGTTAAAAATAAAATGCTGAGTTCTATCACGAAATTCGCTCGGAACAATTGAGAAAAATCATTAATCACGTTATTCAACATATCTGGTGCTCAAATCGAAATGTCAAATATACAGGCCTTAGGATTTCGGAACGATAACTAATATAATTTATATATTTTTATACAAACGTTTTATTAATAATCTAACGCAAACATCACAATTATTTTCAAACACACACATTCCCGTCCACCCTCCCCCCCCCCGCTCGATGTAGCATACAGTGCAGGATGCCTGAGGCAAACATCAATTGTATTTATTATCAGATACAGCAATTAAATATTAGAAAATTTGCAGCAGGGAAAAGCCTTTATAAAAACAATTAATATGGCTGAGTAAACAGGCTCTATATATCGATGCTAAAATACTTCTTCAATTTTACCTCATGTCGACATGGAAGGTGTTGAAGGTACCTGTTGCCTCGGGGCCGCGCCATAGATCAAGCGGTTAGTCGCTGGCTTCCCACCGCGGCAGCCCGGGTTCGATCCCGGATCTAGTCAAGTGGGATTTGTGGTGGACAAAGTGGCGCTAGGGCAGGTTTTCTCCGAGTACTTCGGTTTCCCCTGCCAATCTTCATTCCACCAATTGCTCCACAATCACCCTCACCTATCATCTGGGGCTGGTACAATAGGCCAGAAGTGGCCGCAGTACAAGGGACTTAGTCCCACCCCACTAGCAATAAAAAAAATACCTCTTGTCTCCATCTTTAGGACCGAAGTCTACTTACAGTGTGGATGTGTGCTCCTGACCATTAAAACGTCTTAACTTTCACTTTACTCTTATAGGGGAAGGACAAGCGGGAGAAAGCTGGGAAGCCAACAGAATTATAGTCTTTACCCCCACCACCCCCGTAATAAAATATCTTTCACTTTTCCTAAGGTTTTCATTTTCACCTACTCTTTTGCTATACACTTGGTCGTCGACCTACGACCTGCCGCACTTACGCCCACAAAAGAAAAAATAAAAAATAAAAGATGATTAAAATGTTTTTTTTAAATAAATTATAAAGATGATGAAAAGATTAGAAAGGTTAAAAATACTGGCCGACATACGACCAGATCGACTTACGTCCTGTCAGTCAGAACGGAAGTCGGTTGAAAGTCGACGACCAAGTGTACTTTCTACTTCTCTCTCTTTTTCTCTTCTTTTAATGATTGAAAATGTTAACTTTAATATTGCCATGACTGTTTAGTGCAGTATCACACGAATGCTCACACCTCTTTCCCACTTCTAGCAAATAGATCCGGCTGAAATGGACCGCCTGCTGGACCCGAAGAGGAAACGACCCTTCTGCAACGCATTTACAGGTAACTTTCATCCTTCTTGCAACTCTTCGATGAAAGATCGCACATGGGCACGACAATTTATAGAAGAATGGCTTCTTTTAGGAAGTGACGCTGTGCATGTATTATTCCATAGCTAGGGTTCATTCCTGTTTCGAAATTTACGAAATTTACTCTAGCAATAGGCTAGACGTGTAGTTTGGATTGTGAAAATGAAATTAAATAATACAGGAATATAGCAAAAGACTCTTAGAAAACAACGACAGAGCTGGGATAAAGACATTAAAACAGTTATTAAGAAAATTTATTTGAAGGATTGTAAGTTAAATGGTTCATTGATGGGTCTTTGTGTTAGCGATGTTGAAGCTTCGGGAACCGTTTCTTAGTTCCCTTGTTTGTTACTCTGCAGGCTGTGGCAAGAAGCGGTCGGACGAGTCAATGGGGACTTTGGTGGATATGAATTCGGAACCAGCCGTGGAAGATTTGAGTCGCCAGATTCTGTCAGAAGCCAAACTGTGGGAGGCAATCCAAGAGGCAAGAGTCGAACTGCTCAGACGACGTCAGGAACAGGTGCGCATGCCTCGTATGAACGATGCCTACATGGTACAGACCTTATTTTAAGCATCCGTTTTATCACGAATTTCCCAGTTTTTATGGAACCCGAAGAACTGATAAACAGAATTTAATGAGAAGTAAATTTCGGATTTCAAATATTAAAGTCTGTTTTACCTCACTTCCCTTATTTTGAAAAGAAAATAAAGAAGGTTTCATGATAAGGTCTTGCTGTCTGTAGGTCTGTATGTCACCTCCTAACGTTGCTCGGCAACGACTCGGTAAACATGTTCCCGCTAAAATGAATACATATACAAAAAAAATAATTGTTTGCCGTGCTGTTTTCAATGTTTTCCGGCGAATATAAATACGGGACCTGGCCCTTCAGGTTGGGGGAATCTCGAATTTGAGAGAGTAAATTGTGGTCACGAGTCCTGCGGGAGTCGAGCCTGAGAATGATTGCGCTGGCGAGGGCCAGCAGCAATTGTATACTACAGAGCCATCCTCTCGTCATAGAGGATGTTACATAAGGACTATAACCGCAAGTGTTCAATTGGAAAATAAAAATTCTGGTCGTGAGTCTCAAGGGACTTGTCGTTAAAATAAACTGACTGACGGTAAACCGCCGGTCGTATTGTGCTGTATTCCTTTACAGGTGGCAATTTCACTGCAATATTACCATTAAAATATTTGGAAATAAATATTTAAAAATGTCTTTATTGAATGTTTTACATATTATGTAAATTTAAAACCTTATATATTTAATTTCACCCACTCTGTTTGAGATCTAACTGTCAGCACGTGCATTTGTGCGCTATTGATCATTTCAATTTGAATTTTAAAATTTAGGATTAACATTAAGTATTAAATGAGACCTGCCTCATAAGATTCATATCCATTTACCTCGACCTGTAACCGCGTCCCACGTAGGACAAGCATTTTTTATTTCAGAACTACATTTCTGCGTCTATCTACCCAAATTAATCATATTTCGGCATTTCGATTAAATTACATATCCCGAAACTGAATTCATCCTAAATTTTTACTACAGATTCAAATGCGTGAGTCGGATGAATATAAGATCCCTATTATGCGGCTCCATATGATGTGCTAAGTCGTGCACCACATCGCCGGCATTTACTTCATGATCTTGCCGCGTGAAGGCGCAACCATCGGCCTCCTATGCACTAAGCACATACTCGTAGAAGTAGACTACATTTTGCTTTTGTGGATGACGACAGTTTTAGAGAGTTTCTGCATGTCACATTATAACAGTGTAAGTAAATGCACATTATATGTGCAAATTGCCGAAGTCGCTGGGTGAAGAGGAAGAAACTAATTTAATAACAGAATAAACTTCCTTACTATTCGTACAGCTGAAACATGACTCACATGGCACAACTCTATTGAATTAGTACGTAGTAATTGCTTTGACATTTCGTCATCCATGGACTGAGCAAATGGAACAGTATATAGCGTTTCATATGGCGTCTGCTTTTATGCACGGTTTGCAGAATCTTAATTGTTTTCATTGATACAAATAAGTAAGAAATTTGTCTTACTGGTGATATTTTGTGTAGCTCCATAATTTCAATAAAGGATTCACATTCGTGACATACCTATACAAGGTATGATTTATGCCAGATGAACAAATGCTGTAATTCTCCAATAATAACAGTGATATTACACACACTCCCCTTAGTGATGAGGCTCTGATATTACGTGCAGAAGTCCTCTCAACTATAACTCCATTTTTACAGTATTACTTGTTTCTCTCCGTCTCGGGAGAATAACGGTCGTCTTTAGCAGTATACAGTTTAATAAGAAGTGTACTACAGACGTGTCATCTGTAAAATTCTAAACAGGAGCACCAACAGAAATCTGGCTCGCGTCTCTCTTTGGGCAACGGCTGTATTGACGAAAAGGGCTAGTGGTTTTTCTCAGACCCTCCAAGCGACTTCTAGGACAGTGCCTTGAAAGTAACTATGAGCACTTTTTCCCCAGTTCTGTTCTGTTTAGGGTACATAATTATTTACTTGTGGCCGGCCACGGTAGCCGAGCAGTCTAAGGCATGCACTGTCTTCGCTCGCTCGGAAGCCGAGATCGTGGTTTCGAATCCCACTCAGGGCATGGATGTTTGTGTGCGTTTTTCTGTGTTTGTCTACAGGTAGAGGCCTTGCGACGAGCCGATCACTCGCCCAAGGAGTCCTGCCGTATGTGTAAGATCTAGAAAACCCGAAGTGAACGGAGAAGTTCATGGAGGTAGGCCTAGGCCCACTGGGGCTGTAGTGCCAAGGAAAAAAAATATTCACTTGTGTTGGTATGCTAAACGACTTATGCAATTGATATAGTGTCTAAAGAGTCCGTGCCATACCTCAGGCAGTTAGTCGCAGGCTTCCCAACGCGGCGGCCCGGTTTCGAACCCAGGTCAGATCATATGGAATTTGTGGTGGATAAATTGGCACTGGGGCAGGTTTTCTCCGAGTACTTCGGCTTCCCCAGTCAATTCTCATTCCATCGACTGCTCCATATTCGTCATCATCATCTGTCATCCGAGGCTGGCCGAAGTATGAAGTGCACTTGGTCTCACCCCACTCCAAGAAACAAACAAAAAAAAAACACACACACACACACATCAAGCATCAACAAATACCGGCAACTGGTTTGATTATTATCGTCTCTTATCACAGGGTTTTCCTGGTACTTCTCTTGAACCAATGGCGAACCCTACCACTGAGGCTTCAAAATTGTAGTTTTTCCTTGTTACGTGAGATGTTCCCAGTACAGCTGTATTTGTACTGAACGCTTAATATGATCATTATTGTCGGTCTTATTATCATTTTCATCATTATGGGACCTCTGTGCCCTTTCTGGCAGATGCAGCAGAGCCAGTTCCCAGCGGCAGTGGAGAGACCTGTGCCCTACCCTATTGCCGGATACCGGAGGAAGCGATCCGCGGAACCAGACCAGGTACCAGCACATCACACCATCTCTGAAGCACAGGTATCATGTCCAGTGTGCATCGAAATAAACTCAGATTTTAGCGAACTGTGTTCCTTTATGACGTCAAGCGTAATTAGAAGATATTCATAATGTGGTCGTTTGAGTTATGACACCGTGCAGTCTTCTCCATATTCTCTTATATTCTGAAGAAAGAAGTAACAGGATCCTCCGAAAATTTGTAACCTCCCATGCAAGGAAACGGTGTCATAGTACTGTCCCAGAAGACCATGACCTGAAATTTCACTGCAGTGAAAACATCTCAAAGAAATGCATCTTGTAAATTTGGCCTGCTGTTTTGTGTCAGCTGTCCATGTTGCATAGAGATGTGATAAGGTGACTATGGAAAGCCAGTGGCAGGGTGGAGCCCGTCATCATGCATCATGTAACAGGATAGGAGACGTCGTGGATGTTCACTTGCAGAATAGCCAAAAGTTAGTCTAACTGGTACTTAGCGAAATATTGGATGTATTGACCGTCAACATAACGAACAAAAATAAACTAACAGAACTGCTATGGCCGCGCCATAGCTCAAGCGGTTAGTCACTGGCTTCTCACCACGGCGGCCCGGGTTCAAACCCGGGTCTGGTCAAGTGGGATTTGTGGTGGACAAAGTGGCGCTGGGGTAGGTTTTCTCCGAGTACTTCGGTTTCCCCTGACAATCTTCATTCCACCAAATTCTCCATCATTATAAACACCAGGGGAAGGTACAATAGGCCAATCAGTGGCCGCCGTACCGAGTGGACCCAACTCGACACCACCCCCCACTATGCGAATTAAAAAAATTAAAAAAAAAACAGAACTGCTGACATTGGTTTTATTCGATAGTTTGTACATGTTTCGGCCCTCATGTGGGGCTCTCTTCAGGCAGTCTCATCACATACATCTGTTTTTATTGAACTGCCCTAATATGAATCCATATTAATACTGCTCATCACAATGATACGGGTATATTTTATTTTATTGCTAATGGGGTGGGACTAAGTCCCTTGTACTGCGGCCACTTCTGGCCTATTGTACCAGCCCCAGATGATAGGTGAGGTTGATTGTGGAGCAATTGGTGGAATGAAGATTGGCAGGGGAAGCCGAAGTATTCGGAGAAAACACTCCTCAGCGCCACTTTGTCCACCACAAATCCCACTTGACAAGACCCGGGCTCGAACTCAGGCCGCCTCGGTAGGAAGTCAGCGACTAACCGCTTGACCTATGGCGAGGCCCTTACGAGTATAATATATGCAACCGCCACGAAGTTACAAGAGTTTTTCTAATTTAACCCTTTCAAAATTTAAAATTTAAGTTTAAAATTACTTAAAATTCTCTTGTTGAATTTAAATTCTATGTTATTTTGTGTCTGGTGTTCTATTGGAACAGTTTCAACCACTGTTTGCACTTGAACTGTGGTCTTGCAAGTTATAATATCATATAGTCTTTAAAGTAGAGGATGGAGCTAGCGGAATCCCCCGAGGAGTTAATACCAACCTACAAGACATCACGGTATCACAACCCAGAAGACCACAATCTACATCTCCACTAAACAAACAAAAAACAAATTCCGTAGTCTTTAGTCCGCAAGCGAACTATACCGACCGAGCTACCGCAGCTTGTCGGCGAAGATAGTACTAACTTTCGCGGATAGATGACGTCGCGTGGTCAGCGCATAGGGTTCTCAGGCCGATAATCTCGGTTTCCTAGACCGGAGCCGCTACTTTCCATTCAAATAGCTCCTCAATTATTCCCACGAGGCTGAGTGGGCCCCGTTCCAGAGCCGCTACTATCTACATCTCCACTTCTGCGAAAAACTCATATAATTATCTCTGTTGTTTATAGGAGGAGTTCACGAAATCCTGGAGTCGATAAAGTGAAGAGCACCAACACCATCAGTAGCGGCAATTTGTTCCCGCTGTAACAGTGTCATCAACAGTCCCATTGAAATTGTTCAAACACAACCAAGACACAAAGTGAGCTTTTCTATCCCCATGTCTGTCAGTGAAAAAATATTCCTGGAATGTTCCACTTAAACTTCATGTAGAATACAATAAAAACTACACAACTGTAGCACATTGTTTTATCCCTTTTATGTGCCCATTATTCTTTATATATAATCAGATATGCATTACCATCCATTCTCCTTCACATTCCCTCGATACCTAGCAATACTAGGCTAGTTCCTGTCAGAACATGTACCTGTGGTACATATACTCGTATGTTCAAAGTATTTAATGAAATACGAAAGTACAGTTATTTCACACAATATACATTTCCGCCATGTCGTAAAAGAAAAATTTAAATGACTGTATATTTCTGTTGCATTAGAGACGGAAATATATATTGTATAAAATAATTGTTATATTGGTACAACTTATTCATTACTTACTCATGGAGCTGAAAACTTCCTGAGAAGCCGCCAATTCTGCAGGTACTCAAGAATATCCCAGCATTTTATGGAACCCGAAGGTTCATTACCGCGTTCACAAGAGCCCTCCACTGGTCCCTATCCTTAGCCAGATCAATCCAATCCATACCATCCCATCCTATCTCTCTAAGATCCATTTTATTATTGTACACACCTATGCGTTGGTCTTTCCAGTGGTTACTTTCCTTCTGACTTTCCCACCATTGGTGCAACAAGATGCTTAAATACAATATTACGAAAATACAGAACATTTATATATAACATTATGTTTCCTGTCATAATTGGATCAAGCACGTGTAAAAAATTGATAACAATGTCGAAGGCATCAATTGCAACATGCATCGTCGGCTATTTTGCGGCTGATCAAGCGGCCGGAGTGTGAAGCTGACCACTCATCTCAATCGAGTGCCGAAGTCAAGAGTCCACCCCCCCTCCATATGTAATGGCATAGTACTGAATTAAGTACAGGGACAACTTTGCCGTATATTTTTGCTCCTAGAGCACTTGATCGAACACCGATAGTTGAAACGGACGCTATGAGGGCGTGTGAAAGTATCCTTACATAGACGTGGAACGTTGTCAGTTGGGTCCTTTAGAAAAAGCTAGGTTAGATCGCTTTACTTTATTAAGAAACAGACTCTAGCGTTTTTAGTGGGCACCTCCCGTGACACCTCGTGACAGAAGTGGACACCGTGTTCGAAAGCTGGTACTTCAGATAAATTTGAGACAACAGCCAGCGTACAAAGCACATTTATATCTGCAATGGCAGCCTTACAAACGCAATACGAAATGTAGATGATATTTCAGTCCCCGTACCGGGCTTATCTTGTAGTAAAAGATATTTCAAAGTTAAGAATGGTGAAGGAACTATATTCGATTCCCAATGAGGTCATTGGATTTTTCATTTGACCTAATCCTTCCAGCCGCACTATGGCCCTGAGTCGACTGAGCCTGTAATAGAAATCAGTACCAGGAATCTTCCTGGGGAGTAAGGGCGGCCGGCGCGTAAGGCTGACAACTTCACTGTTGTCTGTTAGCCGATTGTCTAGAAAATGTGGGAGCCTCGACGTCTAACAGCCCTATGGGCTTCCACGGCCTGTTACAGGAGCACGTTTACCTTCTTACCTTATGTACGTATCTTAAAGGAAATAAACTAATGAAATGAGGAGTGCATACAAAAAACACGAATGCTAAGACCCAATTCATCTGTTAGCCTTGTTTTATTATTCAGAAAGAAAGGGAGGCATAATGCCTGAGAGGATACTTGTGTGTGTGTGTGTGCGTGCGTGCGCGCTTTTGTCCAACTTTTAAAGGGCGAACGAAAATAAATCGAAGTGGACAGTGTGCCTGGTAATGTCAAGTTTCGTAAACGTGTGTTTTTCGGGCCCTGAGCAGTGCTCACTCACCTGGGTGTCAAGGAATGATATCTAGCAATTCGCGTTAGACACGAAGTTTTGTGAACCACTGCAGCAAGCACCGGGGAAGGACTAACACTTTGTTGGTTCGTGTATGGGCAGCGAATCCATTGGAGCCCTCAGAAGAAATTAGCTAGCGTGTAGAACACGAAGAAAAGTCGACAACCATTTCTTCGGAAGAGGACGGAGTTCGGTTATTTGCGGTATGCAATGAACTGCCCTGACACCTAGCGTGAGTTCTTGAAGGATAACATGACTAGTAAAGGCAAGACTGACAAGAGAAGATCCGGCCTGACAGCTGTTTTTTGTAACGAAGCAACTAAAAAACCAACTAACGCCATGGAGCTGAACCCTTCTTGAGAAGCCGCCAGTCGCTCAAGTATTTCCCAATATTTTGTAGAACCCGAGGGTTCATTACCTTGTTCACAAGAGCCTTACACTGGTCCCTATACTAAGTTAGATAAATCCAGTCCATACCACCTTATCCTATTTCTCTAAGATCGATTTTTATATTATCCTCGCATTTATGTTTAGGTCTAGCTGGTTGTCTCTTTCCTTATACCTTTCCGCCCTGCTCTTCTCTTCCTCCTTGACTTGATCATTCCAATTGCGCCTGAAAGAGAGTAACATTTACGAAGTTCTTCATTATACAGTCTATTCCAGCATCCCATTATTGAATCCCGCTTAGGTCCAAATATGATTTTTTTTTCATATTAATTACTGAACGAGGGTTAGGTAACATGCCTCAACATTATATTTTTTCTTTCCCCCCCCCCCATTGGCACTACAGCCCCAGTGGGCCTAGGCCTACCTCCATGAACTTCTCCGTTCACTTGGGTTTTTCTAGATCTTACACATTCGGTAGGACTCCTTAGGCGGGTGATCAGCTCGTCGCAAGGCCTCTGCCTGTATGCAAACACAGAAAAACGCACACACACAAACTAAACATCCATGCCCTGAGTGGGATTCGAACCCACGATCCCGGTTTCCAAGCGAGCGAAGACAGTACATGCCTTAGACCGCTCGGCTACAGTGACCGGCTTATATTTCCTTTGCAGAGGTAATTTAGCAGTATATAATTGAGCCGGTCACGATAGCCGAGCGATCTAAGGCATGTACTGTCTTTGCACGCTCGGAAGCCGGGATCGTGGGTTTGAATCCCACACAAGGCATGGATGTTTGGTATGTGTATGCGTTTATTCTGTATTTGTGTCGTCCTTTAGGTAGAGGCCTCGCGACGAGGTGATCGGCACTTAACACCCGTTCAAGGAGTCTTACGGTCTGTAAAAATGAACAGTAAAATTGAGTAAACAGCCCTATGCTCCCAATTGGAGCGAAGAGGAAGAAAAAAGTGCACTGCGTCCTACACAGATGGAGCTCTAAAGGCTTTCACATGCTGAATACCTACGGAATGAGGTTCTAATTTTCAGGAAGAGGTTACTGATGAAGGTGGAGCAAGCATCTTCTCCCCTCTTTGTATCTGTCCACTATCCAGTCACAAAATTCTGTTTGTCGTAGCGTCGGACTGGACATTCACAACATAAGACGAACATTGGCAGGACAGTGAGTCTAATAAACACTCCGTGGCCTGTAATCCGCAAGCGAACTATACCGACCGAGCGACCGCCGCTTGCCGGTGAAATTAGTGCCGTGAGTCCAATGGCTTCCAGAATTCATCAATTTTCATATCCTAATACTGTTTATTGTGCTACACAGTCCGCCAACAATGCAACAAACTGTTCCTTCTTTCTTACACTTTCACTTTCGATACAACATGTTTCGGTCCTAAACAACCATCTTCGGAGGTCTTACTACGCTAATGTTGCTACATTGCACTAATATTGTCCATTCGACACATATGCGAGTGCCCGCTTCATGAATGGAAAATATTAGTGCAGTGTAGCAATTTTAGCGTAGTAAGACACCTGAAGATAGCCATTTAGAGAGGAAACATGTGTAAAAATTAAAAGTGAAAGTAAAAAGGAACAATTTGTTGCATTTATGATGAACTGTGTAGTAAAATAAGCAGTACTGGATACAGTAATGCAACAGGATGCTTAAATACGGGATTTCATTTCCATGTCCTTCTGCGATGTTTTTGTGTTACCATCATCCATAGCAGTTTGGAAATTTTTCAGGCATTAATTTTGGGAGCGTTCCATACCCCTTATATAATACTGTATGTATCTGAAACATGAGGATAAAATTTGGGCACTAGTTCCACATGCCAAAACAGGAGAAAAGCTAGTGTCCAAGAACATTAATTTGTTAAAGCTGAAAGATTGCTGACGTGACCTAGTCATTTGTCATTCGTTTGAGCCGTGCTGTGCAAGATATTCTCAATAACACTTCTCATTATCAATGGATAGGTACGTGAGGTCCCAATGCATGGCCTCAACGCCCGCCAGATTTGAATCATCTGGATTTTAATCTGTGAGGACACCTAAACACCCCTTGTGTATGCAGCTCCTGTTTACAACGAAGAGGCTACCTCATCGCAGTGTGGACTGCTGCCAGACTATCCGCAACTGCCCCGCCATCTCTGAACGGATGCGGCGGCCCATGATGAGACGTGTCGAGGCGTGAATTGAATCTCATGGAGGACATTTTGAGCACTTCATATAAATGTACTCTTTCAGCTGTAACTCACAAATTAAATGTTTCCGGACAAGTGTGCATACAGACAACTTTTCTTGTTTGCTGTGTGGAACTCACGCCCAAATGTGTCCTCACCTCTCAGTTACATCCTGTATACTTGGGGACTGTGTTAGGTTAAGATGGAACTTAATGCAACAGCTTAAGTTTACATCTGACCCTTAATCTTCTGTCTGTTTCAGCTACGTCTGCCTTTAGAAGCAATGCTCCTGGCCACGGTGCACAAGTCGGGCCGTGTAGTTCCGATCTGCCTGCCTTAACCATAAAGAGGCCGCGCCATAGCTCAAGCGGTTAGTCGCTGGCTTCCCACCGCGGCGGCCTGGGTTCGATCCCGGGTCTGGTCAAGTGTGAACTGTGGTGGACAAAGTAGCGCTGGGGCGGGTTTTCTCCGAGTACTTCGGTTTCCCCTGTCAATCTTCATTCCACCAAATTCTCCATCATCATAATCACCCGGGGCAGGTTACAATAGGCCAATTAGTGGCCGCCGTGCCCCGTGGACCCAATTGGACTCCACTCCCCACTAAGCGAATTTTACCCATAAAGAGCAGGAGAGAGACAAGCCCTAAAAGGAC